GATAAAAGGCCGTGAGTATTCAACTATTCACAAAGTAGAAAGTCCCACATTTTATTTATCTTATCAACATACATATTTTGAAAGTCGTTCCTATGACATCTCAATACAAAAGTACGTGGATATCATTGATCAAGTGGAAGTGGACTTTACTACGAAAAGCAGGTTCGACCCTTACAAAGGAAATATTCTAGAATTCATGTCTGGACTTTGATTTGTCACAAAATCAACTAACAGGTGACATTCCACCCGAAATTGGAGACTTGCTACAAATTCATGTCTTGAATTTTTCGCACAATAAGTTGGTCGGACATATACCAAAGGAAATTTCCAATTTAAAGCAATTGGAGAGCTTGGATCTTTCCAATAACTTTTTGAGTGGAAATATCCCTTCGGAACTAGCTGGACTCAATTTTCTTGGTACATTCAATGTGTCATACAATAATTTGTCGGATATGATCCCTCCAGCACCACAGTTCTCGAATTATCCTGCGAGCAGCTATTATGGTAATTCTCATCTTTGTGGGTCATATATCGAACAAAAATGTCAAAGCCCTAACAACCCATCTATAAAATTGGGAGAAGAACATGGAGCATTCATTGATTTACAAGCATTCTGTTGGAGCTTTGTTGCCTCCTATATCATAATATTGTTGGGATTTGTAGCAGTTCTTTACATCAACCCTCAATGGCGTGAGATATGGTTTTATTTCATTGAAGATTGTTGTTCTTATTTTTGCAAGTGTATATGAAATATATTCTTCCACTCTTGTGTCAAACTTGATAAATCACTCACTGGGAAGCTAGCTTTTGTTGGTGTTTGATTATTATTTTGACTAGAATGATGAAATTAAAGGTGCTAGATGGATACTTCATGTAATATTTCTTTTCTTTTGTCACTTGTCTTAGTTTTCTAATGTGACAAATTAGATGCAAAAAGAACATGAATGATTGATCGATATATGAAAATTCTGCTAGATTAAATTTTCTTCCTCAACTTATCTTCTACTATAGGATGGAAATTGGTTGCACTCTTAACAAAGGATGAGTTTATCATCCTAAATTTTCACCTCTGTCCCATTACCTTACCAAAGGCATTTTTTTTTTCAAATTTCTTATTTGAAATTTAAATTTGCTATAAAAGTATTTCCAAAATAATTAGTGACAACATAAACTATAATTTTGACTCAAGTAGGAGACATAAGTCTGAAAATTCAATACTAATTTGACACTCTTAAAATTACGTTTTTAGTCATTGTATGTCAAAATTTTCATTAGTTCATGTCTGAAAGGAAAATTCAATGTGATAATTAAAAGTTTGTTCTTTATTTTTTAATTTATGTGTCTGATTTTTTTCTTCAACTAATATAAAATAAAATTCAAACATTTCCAAACTTTTTGTTTCTCAACTAATTAATGTGATAGTTTAGACTGCTAGGGTTGTAAAAATATAAGTCATTAAAATCTTCATCTTTTATATCAATAATTTATATTTTGCCTCCTTAATTTAAGATGTCATAATTTCGTTGATTTAAAAATTGATTAATTAATTTAATCCAAATATAACTTAGTGAATAAAACGTCTTTTATACTTTCAACATATTGAATTAAAAAAAAGAAAAAAAAGGATGAATAATAATTTTAATATTAAAAACACATTTGGTCCTGTACTTTTACTAAAGTAACAAGTTAGTCCTTGACGATTTAGTCTATGTACTTTCACTAAAGTAACAATTTAGTCAGTGAATTTTAACTTATAATGATTTAGTCCCTATCATAAAAAAATTTATTAAAATTAAATGTTAAATTTTATGATATAACTCTAATTTACAAACATATAGTCCCTATTTAATTTATCAATCTATATATAAGGAGCTTAACAAAAAAATTTCAAAGAAAAAATTAAATTGTTACCCACTTTGAATTAGAATGACTAAATTATTAGTAATTTAAAAAATAGAGACAGTTACAAACTAAATTATAACTTTGGCGAAACTAAATTTTATCCAAAGTGTTTTTTAACGTGGTTTAAAATATTAGAGAGTCTGGTGGGAAAGTGTCATTTAAAGTTCTACAAATTGCGTGATGGTGGGGTTTGACCTTTTAAAAAGAATCGAGATTTCAGTGCCTCTCTGACAAAGACCATAAATAGATGGCCCCATAGTAACTCCATTTTCTAAGGTTAGATTCAAAAAGGATTTCTTTTTAGTATAATAATCAGAGATTCAAATACAAGACATCCACGTATTATTGTACTCAAAAGAAAAAAGAAACTCAAAAAGGGAAAATCTACAAAGATGTGAAGTGTTTACAAGATCTAAAATTTCCCTTAGAGAAAGAAAGAAAAAAAAAAGAAAAGAAATATAATAGAGATTACACTGAATTTTATACAGAGAGTAAGAACTCGTTTTGTAACATTCTCATTTTTATTGTTTATCGTTTCTAGTTCTATTAAGAAATCCAAATATTTGAGAGCTACTCATATTTATTTTTTTTAGAAACATTCTAAAATAAAAGTTTTGGAGAATATAAAAATATGTTTTTTGCGTTTCGGTTTCGTTTCCAATTTATTCCAATACAAATAAAGATTTTATTTAATCATTCTTGAATCTAAGGGTGCTGGAGGAATAAAATTATATTTTTCTTTATTAATAAAAAAAAAACAAAAATAAGGGCCTCGAATAACTTTCATATTGGTTGTTGAAAGTACTTTTGATGGCTTTTTTCTTTTGAATAACTCTTGATGGGCTTCAAAATTTGGGGATGACTATTAAAATAGAAAAGAAAGTCTTCATTCTTGATCTAATAAAAAAAAGGGATTCCACATCTCGTAGTTAGACTGAACTTGAGAAAAAATAACGCACCTATTAGTCCTTATCTTCAAAACACTTTTCGTTTGAGTGAGATTGGTGGTCTTTCAAAACCTCATTTTTCTTTTCTAATTTGGTGGCTGTTCGTGATAGAATAATAATTAAAGGTAGAAAATAATATCAATCAATTATTCAAATAAATCTTAAAGCGAACATAATTCAGTAATAATTGACACATATAAATCAAGAGATTTTGAGTTCGAATCCTCATCCCAAGATATTATACTAAAAAAAACTATTTAAATTGTTGGTGGTCAAAATCAGACTCGACACGTGTAAGCATAAACCCGTTTACAAGTTTCATTTCAGATCAGACTTAGTACCCGACGACATGATCCATACCAAGCTAAGATGAAACGAAATACACAGCTACTGACGTGAGGGATTCGACCTCAGGTCCGACCACCGACTTAGGGCCCTGACAACCGTAACCGTCGGTGGTAACAACCAAACATCTTTGTCTCCCCCGCTTGCTTATAAAAGGGACACTCCGCCCCATCATTTAGGTATGTATTTCCTTTGAGAACGACCTAAACACCTCGAGCTTGCAACTAATTTGGGCGTTGGAGTGTTTGTTCCCTGTGCAAGTACACTTGTGAGCATCTTGGCAGCTAGCTAGTCCTCGTTAACATGTGACCGACCTAAGAGCTCGATGGAAAACAACATCAACACAAATAAACCAAAACAATGCCTTATTTTCTCCGTCTTGCATTTTAATCACATGGTTGATGATTTTGAAGATGGCCAACCATTAGGGATTTAAAAATTAAAAAAAAAATTCTAGGAGGACCAATTTGGACATTTTTACCAATGTTTTAAGTCAAAAAGTGGTTTGAATGCTTTGAAAAAGGTGGCAAGAAGAGAACCAACCCAACAACCAACCCACAATATACTATTTAACGCTGAATATAAAGTTTTTAGTCCATAATGTTTGACTTGTTTAATTTAGTTCTTTTTATTTAAAAAAATTCAATATAATTTCTTACATTTGAAGCTTTTTAAAATTTTTTTTTTGGTTTTTTAATTATACTCTCACAAGTGTTTTTTTTTTTTTTTTAAGTACTGTTGGAGAGGGGATCCGAACTCACAATCTCTTGTTTGTTGGAGGTATATGTCAATTACCATTGAGCTATGCTCGCTTTGGCTACTCTCACAAGTTGATGAATCTTAAAATTGATTGATGATAATTTTAGGGACATAATAGTTAATAAGTTGATAAAACTTTAGATAATGAATGAGGCCATCTAAACTTTTAGATTTGATCTAAATAGTTTATATCCAATATGATCACCAACTATTAGCTCAATATAGAACACACTCACCAAGACTGAAACAAATGTACATATTTAGAATGTTCAAAAATATTAACAAACATTTCACTTTGCATATTTTCCACATCCTTTATAATATATAATAGTTTTTTTTATTACGTTTATAATAAAATAGTACGTATGCATATAAAGATTTTTTTCAAAAGAAAAGTTGTTTTACAAAAATTTTAAATTGGTTAAGATATTAATCTCCCATCAAAAGTTCACATGTTACAATCCCTCTCGTGTTGTTGTATTAAATAAAAGCTTTAAACAATGCACATGTAGAAATTTAAATATATAATTTCTTTTGACAATAAATGCATGTCTTATCGGCCGCTTTCATGATAAATGAGTGATTTTCGAATAAAATAAAATAAAATAAAATATAGAAATAGAGTGATGGTGATTGAATATTAAAGGCGTGTTTGGTACTAATTTTCGTCATATCAAAATTACTTTTGTCATAGTCAAAATCACCTCATTTTTCCTTGATCATGTTTGACAAGTTAAAAAATTGATTTTAGAATTTTAAATTGATTAAGGTGTCATTTGGGTGGTAATTTTGAAAATTCAATTATATTTAAATCTATTTTTTTAAAATGGCTAATTATATCGTCACTCTCAAACACACCATAAATCATAAAAATGCAGTGTTTGATAACTGTAGAATAAATTTAATGAAGTGGCATTATTGGAAAAAGAATAGTAAACTTTTAGGCACAGCTGTTCTCTTTTGTCATCATTCCCTGAAAACAAATGATCTCAAAAGAAAATGATAATTGGATCACTTTTCTAAGTCAAGTTGTAAATTCTAGTATTTCTTTATTGTTTTTTTTAATACTTTTTATTATTTTAAAGGAAAAAATCTCACCTTCATATGGAGATCTGTGAAGGTTGAAAATCTTGAAATCTTGTATATAAATGGGAGGAGTGATTTGATAATTTAGCAAAGAAAAAGAAAAGAAACTCATTTGATGTGTTTGAAAATGGAGTACAAGTTTAGGGTGAAATATTGCTCTTTGTTACTAATAATATTAATTGTTGTTGATCATACGCAGGTATCAAGAGGGTGCCTTGAAGATGAAAGATTGAGTTTGTTGCAAATCAAGGCCTTCTTTTTATCCCATAATATCAACCAAAATTCCAATCCTTTTGATTCATGGGTTGGAGCTAATTGTTGCAATTGGGATCGAGTTCAATGCAATAATCTCACTTCCGATGTCCGTGTAGTTGAACTCCAGCTCTACGAGTTGTCGCTGGATTATGATTTGAAGTTGAATGTTTCTCTATTTCAAAATTTAAAAGAATTGAAAATTCTTGACTTGTCTTCCAACATGTTCTCTGGTTTTACTGGAAATCAAGGTATGTATCTTTATTTTCTATTACGACTTATTAAATATTGTCAAGTAATTAAAATATTTTCCTTCTCTTGATTGACAGGATTCAACAAATATCCAAATTTGATCAAATTAGAGACTTTAGATCTTACTGGTAATCTTTTTGGAAATCAAATATTTTCATCTTTGAGTGGGCTTACATCATTGAAGGAGTTGGTGCTTAGTTACGTTGGCTTGGAAGGTTCTGTCACTATACGTGGTAAATTGCTTAGCCTTTATTTTACTTGTAAATCATGAGAGTATATGAATTATAAGCTTAGAAAAATGTGATCTTAAGCTTGTATCCATTTGAAATACACAAAATCAAATTACTTTAACTCTATAATATAATGTAATTTCTTGTTCCTTTTTATCTTCTCTGTGTTCTTGTCAAAGACAGGTTTGAAAAACTTGAGAGAGTTAAATCTAATTGGCAATCAGTTGAACGGCACGCTACATATGGAAGGTAATTAATCCATACTTTAACAACTTAATCTTCCTTATTAATCTTAAAGTAAAAAATAAATTAATGTGAACTTATTGATCTTATTGTATAGGATTGGAAAGATTAGAGTTTTTAAATTTGGGATCGAATCAGCTCAACAATAGTATTTTTTCATGTCTGAGAGAACTTGTATCATTAAAGACGTTGATACTTTTTAATAATTATGAATTGGGAGGCATCATTCCTACGCAAGGTTAGTTTACTATTATTAGATTATTCAAACGTATAATAGTAATTTATGCAAGGTTTTTTCTTTTCTAATTATTTGAGTTTTTGAATTGGCCAGATATTGCAGAATTAAAAAGCTTGGAATATTTGGATCTTGCCTACAATTATTATTATGATGGAGTAATACCCTTGCAAGGTACATATATATAGGTTCAATTGGAAAAGTTTCTGTTTCAATAACAAAAAAAAAAAAAAAATTATTTTTCACTTTTTTTTTGGTTATATATTATAACAACTTTATCTTATCAAATATCATGTAACATTCTCGAATATTGAATATATTCGAATATATAATTCGAACTTAAAACGTTTTTTTTTAGAAAAATCAATCTAAACATAGTTCAATTAGTTAAAACATATATTTTCGACCGTCGAATCCCCACCTCACATGGGGTAGAAGTAAAAAAAAACCATTAGAAAAGATGGAGTTTATTTTTTAATTAAGAAATAAAAAATGGATTGATTTTGAAAAATGATAAATTATTTCAAAATTTCCATTCATTTTCAAGTACGATTTTTAATTTTTTATAGAATAAAATGACTTGAATTCAATTTAAATATTTTGTGAATAAAACTTAAAAAGTCTTATATTTTTAAATTGTTAATGACCAACTATACGTTTTCATTTATTTATTGTTACAAATAATAATAATAATAATAATAATAATAATAAATAAAACATGAACCACACATAAATGTCTGTCTTATATGTAATTGTTTGTAAAAGAAAATTCAAAGACTATATATATATTTGAAATCTTCAAAACTACATAGATTTCAAGAGAKATATAGAATTAACCTGAGCTAATATCGTCTATTTATTTTGTCTTTTGAATTTTTGTTGAACAGATATGAAGAACTTAAAGATATTGCATCTATCATATAACAAATTCAATGGTTCACTACCAATTCAAGGTAATAACTCTTTGTGATTGAAAAATATTTTCSATCGTTGCTTTTATTTTTCAATACTGCACTTAAAATGAAGAAATAATCATTAGATAGAATTCTTAAGGATGAATTAATCACYCCTCAACCCAAAAGCTTAAGCTGATGAGTTGGGTAAATTTAATTCATATATTGGATATCCAATAAGAATATATATATATTACTGTCACTTAAATTTAAGGTTGATTTAATATAGTATAAAAGGAAAGAAATTAGTAATATAATATTTTCAAAGAGAGAAAAATAAAAGAATATTGGTCAAATTATACCTATATATTTTGGTAATTTGAACTTCGGTAAGTTAGCAAAATTTAAAATATTAAGGGTCATTTGATAACRTTCTTGTTTTTTTATTTGGTAAAGAAAAAATGAATGGCATGACCCCCAACATTCATGAATTCAAGTATGATAAAACAAAATTTTTTTATTTATGTTTTGGAATAAATTGAAAATGGTCGGAACTAGAAATAAGAAACTTATTTTATAATTTTGAGAAAAAGGAAAAACAAGAAATTAGTTGCAAAATACCTCMAGAAACAAGACGTGGAAACCATACCAAACGAGACACTAATTAGCCTAACATTTTTATTATTGAAATATTGACAACACAGAATCAGAAAAAGAAGGAAATCAAGTTAAAAGAGAATACTAATTAAAATTAGTAAATTTTTGGGGATCAAATTTTTATTTTGGAAACAATAGTCAAACAGTCATTTCCTTCCATTTGTGTATTGGTCGGGTTAAATAATATTGATCATAGTATAAAATTAACTATTAAGTGTTGTCACGTCAATATAAAGAGTAGGATTATTTCTTCATTTGTGAGTTGATAATAAAAAGTTGCTATCTACCACAATTTATGTATATAAATCTATAAATTCATCAACTTTATGCTTTAKTATTTTAATCTAGTGTGATCAAAATGCAAAATCTTTAAACTTTTGTTTATTTCATCATGCAGGACTTTGCGAAACAAACAGTTTAGTAGAATTGGGTATCGATAATAATCATATTAGAGGTCAATTTCCACMRTGTATTGGAAATTTTAGTAGACTCAAATATYTTGATATCTCAACGAACCAATTTAGTGGAAAAATTCCGGCCACTATTTTCAACCTCACATCAATAGAGTACTTGTCTCTTGCTGACAATGACTTTAAAGGCCCATTCTTATTATCCTCCCTTGCTAACCTCACCAATCTCAAAGTTTTTGAGCTATCAAGAACACAAGTGGACACTGAAAATCCTTATTGGGTACCAACGTTTCAGTTGGTGATCCTTACACTACGAAACTGTGAAGTTAATAAGCAAACCAAATCAAACGTTCCTAGTTTTCTATTATCACAAYGCAACTTGRAAGTGATTGACCTTTCCTATAACCAATTGGTTGGAGCCTTTCCTTTTTGGTTGCTACACAATAACTCTGAATTGTCGTTCTTAGATTTGAATAGCAATTCACTCACGGGAACTTTTCAATTGCCCACTTGGATAYAAAAGTTGAAGTATCTGCAAATTTCTCACAACAATATTAGTGGCCAACTGCCCAATAATATTGGTCTCCTTCTCCCTAAAGTTTCTTACTTCAATATATCAAGYAATAGCTTTGAAGGTAATCTTCCTTCTTCTATGGAACAAATGAAATATGTATCCTACTTGGATATATCAAACAACAAGTTTTCCGGGAATTTACAAATTTCTATGTTCAACAACATGCTTGATCTACGATGTTTGCTACTAGCAAGAAACAACTTTAGCGGAAGAGTTGAGAAGGGATTGAGTAATAAACCAAATTTGATTACAGTGGATATATCCAACAATATGATTTCGGGAGAATTTCCCAGTTGGATTGGGAACTTGACAAATCTTCGATATGTTAGAATATCAGGAAACCAATTCGAAGGTCAACTTGATGCTGGAATTTGCTCTCTTMATCAATTGAACTTCTTGGATGTCTCTCAAAATAAATTATTTGGTGTGCCGTCTTGCCTCGACTTTTCGTCATTGATTTACTTATACATGCAAGAGAATTTCTTCTCAGGACCTATACCACATGAATTTTCAAATGGCTTGAACTTGAAAGTTCTTGATCTCAGCTATAACAACTTTTCAGGACCTATTCCTAATTGGATTCACGAACTTACGAGCCTACGAGTTATTTTGTTGAAGATGAATCAATTACAAGGATCAATTCCTCGACAAATATGTCAAGTTGGAGATTTGAGTATTATGGATTTCTCAAACAATAAACTCAGTGGACCAATACCTTCATGCTTAAATAATATGACATTCGGGATGATTGAAGGTRGTGAGTATTCAATTATTCATAATGCAGAATATCTTTCCATTTATGTACTTGATCTTGACCCTGCATGGTTTGAAATTCGTTCCGATTATTCCCCAAAACAAGTATTAATGGATGTTAGAGGACAAATAGAAGTGGACTTTACTACGAAAAGGAGGTTGGACACTTACAAAGGGAATATTCTAGAATTTATGTCGGGACTTGATTTATCACATAATCAACTAACAGGTAACATTCCACCCCAAATTGGAGACTTGCTRCAAATTCATGCCATGAATTTTTCGCACAATAAGTTGGTCGGATCTATACCAAAGGAAATTTTCAATCTAAAACAATTGGAGAGCTTAGATCTTTCCTTTAACTTTTTGAGTGGAAATATCCCTTCAGAAATAGGTGGACTCAATGCTCTTGCTATCTTCAACGTGTCATACAATAATTTGTCAGGTATGATCCCTACATCACCACACTTCTCGACATATCCTGCAAGTAGTTATTATGGTAATTCTCATCTATGTGGGTCATATATCGAACAAAAATGTCCGAGCTCTATTTTACCACCAGACAATCCATCTATAAAGCTGGAAGAAGAACATGGAATATTCATTGATTTACCAGCATTCTTTTGGAGCTTTGGTGCCTCTTACATCACAATATTGTTGGGATTTGTATTAGTTCTTTACATCAACCCTCAATGGCGTCAGACATGGTTTTATTTTATTGAAGATTGTTGTTCCTATTTTCGCAAGTGTATTTGAAATGTATTTTTGCTACTGAAAAGCTAGATCTTAATTTCTTAGGGTTTGATTATTACTTAGATTAGGATGATGAAATTATTAATGAGATGTGCTCTTTGCTTCATGTAATTTATTGGGCACTTGTGATCTTCGTTTTCTAATTTCAAAAAGTACATAAATGAGTGTGTGCTAGATTAAATTGTTTTAAGCTAATGTAAATGCAGGTTGGAAATTGAAGGATTAATTAGATGAAAATGATTGTTGTTGTGCTGTGGAAGAATCACTGCAATTTCGRTACGACTACGATGCTAAATCGTTTGTTCGCCGGTTGCTAGGTTAATACAACTTCCAATTCTGGTTTGCACTCACTGAAGTAGAATGGAGTCGAAGAACCTGCTTAAAATCTCTTATTGAAAAATAGTGAAAAATCAGAGCTAGAATCACTTCTATCTCTCTTTAAAGTCACCTCAAATGTACGAAAGAGAAGAATGAAAACAGTTTTAAGAAATTAATTCATGAAATTAATATGTAACATTAAAATGGATCAAGACGTTATCAATAAATAATAAAATGCAATTAATTTCATAAATTAATTTAAAACGTAATTAAAAATTTAATGTTTGTAAAATCATACCAACATTTTTAAGCCTCGAAATCCAACCCATTTTAAATACAAAATTGTTGGGTTCGTAAGGAGTTCAAACAAAGTCTCACATTGGTTGGGGAAAATGGGTGATCCATGCTTTGTAAGGATGAAAAATTATCTCCATTGATATGAAATCTTTTGGGTGGAACCAAGAACAAAGTCGTGAGGGCTAATCCAAAGCGGACAACATCATACCATCGTGGAGATACTCGAGGTATCATTTATTCCACCAGAAATGGAGGAGCAGAGAGGGAAATAAATATAATAAATAAAGTAGAAGATGAGGCATCAAAGAGAGAAATGGGCCAAAATTCAAAGCTCCTTGGGAAACAGGTTTGCACCAATATGGCTGCTCCACATTTTCCATCAGCCAAAGCAACTTCACAGTTGTGAGTCTAATACTAATATATATAAAATAAAGTAGAAGAATATGAGGCAAAAATAAAACTTCCAAAGTTGTGAGTCTAATAATAATAATTCTCCTGTCTAATAAATCTTCAAATTTCAATTCATGTGGTATTTCGTTAAGTTTCAAATGTTACGTATAGGTGGCTAATTTTCTTTTTCTTTTAAATAAGTAATTCTTTTAGTTTTGTGTCTATTATAAATTTTCTCCCGTAAATACAGTATTAAAAGTTTGGAAATTTATTAAAAATTTTAGAAAATCTAAAAACCTATTAGATAGGTACCTTAAGTATACTTTTTCAGACCTATTGTCGATACTAAGTAGTAGCCAAAAATTTGTATCCATTTTCCATGATATTATGTATAGATCAGATATATCATGGCGAATTCTTCAGAAAAAATTGTGTCTTCCACAATGAAATCTGATAGGTGAAATTTCGAGATAGTGTTTACGTGATCTGCTTCTGTCCGAAGAAATGATAGGCTAAAAACAGTCATTTGTCCACATACATTTAAAAGGGGTTATATTATCTTTTAGGGGTGTTTGGTTTGCTGTTTTGCCATGRTTTATTAAGTCTGGATTTGTTAATTAGTATGTGTTTGATTTATGCAGAAGATAGATTTATTAAGTGTGAGTTTGTTAAGTCTGTGTTTGGTTGGTGTTTGTATTTTGTATTTTATTAAACTGACTTTATTAAACTTGTGTTTGGTTGGTTGAGTTTTAATTTTCTTTAAAAGAAATGTAAGTTATAAACTAATTATTTAATTAAAATAATTTAAATTACATTTAATTTTTTTACTAAAATCAATTTTATTATGAAATTAGGAAATACTATTTTAATGATATAAAAAAGATTTTTAATATATTTGTCAATCCAATTTTTTTTTACTGGTTAATTTTTAAAATAAATATTCAATTATCTTTGAAAATAATTTTCAAGTATTTATCAAAGTCTAAAAAAGTGTATACAAATTCATTCAACATAAATTTGACAGTGGAGAAAATGTTATCAACAATTTATTTAATTTTTCACTATTTACTATCTTAAGTAAATTTGATTACTTAATTATTCTAAAAAAATGTATTATTTAATTATCATCATCATTAAATTTCACTTATTTTTATTTAACAATTACATTTTATTACAAAATGAAAACCTTTTAAATAACGCTACTAAAATTAAAATAAATAATAATACAAAATTATAACGTGTTTTACAAATGTGATAGTGATAACAAAAATTAAGTAAAATGGTGGAAACAAAATGAGCAACTATATAAAATGAAAAAAAAAACTAGAAATAGATACCAAGAACAAAAAAAAAATTTCTTTTGATGACTTGGAAAACAAAACAAGAGGAAAATTGTTGATATATGAATTAATTATTTATTACATGTAATTTTAATTAAATTGATTTACTTATTTATGATTAAAATTATAATTAATTAATTTCCTCATTTATTTAATATATTTAATTAAAAAATTAACGCATTTTAGAAGAGAGAATAAAGGTAAAATATAGACGGTAGCAACTTGAGGAGTAGAGATAATSAATAGTATTTACTGTAGCAAACCCGGGTTTATAAAACTGTGAAGCAAACGTGTCTTTGTCTTAACAAAACTCCCCGTTTTGAAAACGGGGAACCAAACGTCCTCTTAAGTTTTAAGTTAGTCAAGGTTGCTATTTGTCACAATTTCAACACATTGTTGAGTGATTAAATTTATCGAACGTGAACTGAGTGTTCCTAAACATTCAGAATATGAAAAAAATCGATCCATTAAACATAAATAACTTTGAAACCCTTCTTTGTTTACTCTTTATTGTATTTTATCTTGCAAGATCTTGTGAAACAATCTATTCATATGGCAAGCCAACTTTGAGAATGTATTGGAAATTACACTAAGACTTTAAATTTAAAGTTTTTGATATTTGAAATAATAAAACTAGGACCACCATTTAAATTTCCAAATACCTCACATCAATTAAGTATAGTTGTTGGTTGTTGAAATTGACTTTGAGGTCCCTTTATATATTTGACATTGCCCAGCCACTCAAAACTTAGGTAGCCATTTTAATGCTATCAGGGAGTAATTACATGTTGGAAAGTTTCAAGTGGAAACTGAAGAACCTCTGTCCAATTTGATCTTCTCACACTGATTACAACTCTGGGGAAAATTTAGTTGCCAATAATATTTATTTTTTCTATGAGTGAAAACTAAGTCGCACGCAATCATAAGAAAAATACGGAAAGTACAGAAACGACACAAGTAAATTTATACTGGTTCACCAAATCATGGATTACGTCCAGTGTTCCRCAACAACGTCAGGATTTTATTATGATATTGGGATAAATAATGGGCAATACAAATCTCTCGACCCACCTAGCTTCTASGAACTACAATAAAACGATTTTAAGAAATACAACAATGAAAAATSTCACRCTCTACGACCCCAGATATCTCACCTTTGAAATTCTGCCAAGCTCTGCCACTGATTTTGTGCACTTACACAAATTTGGCCGCCTCAAATATTGTGCAACAACACGAGATTTTCAAGCCACTACCACCGCTCCCAATTGCCTCCACCCAGTGTTTGTTTCTTTTACTCCAAATCCCAACAGCAACCTCAATATTCTTCTCCTAAATTCAACATCTTTTTTCTTTCTTTATTTTTTCAATTTAATGTGTGAGAGCGGGTTTCAACTTTTAACTTTTTAAYCGAAGATACATACTTTAACCAATTGAGTCACACTCAAATAATTTTGACGTCAAAATTGGAAGCTACACTCGTATATAAATAATTTCTCCCGCTAGCATTTGATTACTYGTTAGAAAAATAGAATAACATCTACTCTCCACTTTTCACAGTTATTTATCTTCTTTTTCCAATTAACTATATAAATCACCTGTGAACCTCCAAATTAAAAACATGAAAATTTTTAATTCTGCTTCGGCTTAACGCAAAGAGCAAATTGTAGTAGTCCAACTTCAACCTCCCTTCAACAACTATTAGCTTCCTTTTCTATTTTGATATTACTTTCCAAGTCAAGTCAATATTTTGTATTAAATATTCAATCAAACTTTCTAAAGTCAAGTCCTCCTTACATTGAACACGCAAATAAAAAATCTCTATATTATTTTTCTAGCGAATTTATTCAGGATTGAGAGAATGTACCTCCAGAATCTTGGGGTGTCTTTTCTTGGAAATTCAATTATTTTACATCTTTTTCACAATGAATTTTATACTCGTGCTAACACCTTGATGAGATAGTATTCATTCTAGAGGCCGAATTTTGATGGAATCTACTTGGGAGTTATTTTGTAACTGAATTGTTTTTATTTTCTAGCTTTGGTTCTTTTGGTTGTGCATTTTATGTTCCTTCTTGGTTTGTTTGGCTGTCGTTTCTTGTTTGAGTTTGTTTTTTGTTGCAGATTTTGTTGATTCTATTCTCCTTTGATCTTAGGCTGTAAGATATTTTTTCTCCTTGCAATATATCTATCTTAAAAAAAATGCAAAGTATTGAATCATAATTTGTTTCTCTTTTTAATTGAAAAGAGTATGTATTAAACTTATAATTTATATGCTTTTTAATCATCAACTCCTATACGGTATCATTTTTATTTGATATGAATTTCATATTTTATAATTGAAACTTATTCAATATGATTGTTTATATACTAGATTATACCATTAAAAAAATTAAATTCGTTATTAATTTAACATTTTTAACAATTTTATTTACTTTACCATTATTTTTTTAATTGAAAAGCTACACAATGTACCTTACCTTTGTATATGTACTATTGAAAAAATGACATAGCACGGAGTGTAAATTAGTAGAGACAATTTTAAATTTTGTATATTTATGGATCTAAAATAATGTGGTATGACACATATCAAATATTCCCTAAATGATATGTTACAAAAATGGAATCTAGATTTAGAATGAAATGCTTAACGTTGCTTGGAATATTTATGTGGGTGTGGCTTAAATTTATGCATTATACAAGAAGTTCCTCAAAAAGAACTATTAAGGTTAATCGTTGAACTAAATTCATCTTAGTATTTTTTTCTTTTTTAAAACGAAAAGACAAGAGAAGATGATCTTGGTGTATTTGGAAGGTATTAAAGATGAATAAACGATCATTCAATCCATAAGTTTAAACTTGTGAGTTGGATAAATTTAATTCATATGTTGGATATCTAACTTACCACGTTAAGTATGAATAAACCACTACTCAACCCAAAAGAGCTTTTAGGTTGAGTGGTGGTTTATTCATCATTCTGATGGGAGGTTCTATGTTCGAACTTCTGCGTATCTTAACAGAAGGTGAAGTTACATCAACATTTTATTTTGACATATTTTCATACAAAATCTTCATTTAACATAAATTATAAATGAAATATTAAAATTATCGTACATTTCTAGTTATTTTCAAAAAAGAAAAAAAAAAGCATTTTTAGCTATATGTGTTTCATGAATAAATCTTAAAAACAAGCAGGGGCTTATCTCAGATATGGTGGGAAAGATGCATCATTTTCTTAGAAATTTACATAGGGACGCAAAAGAAAATGAATTTTGATACATCATTTTTAAAGTCAAGCTTTCATGTCACATCGTCAACATTGTTGGTCGAATAGTCTAGTCTTTATCATTATTATTTATAATTAAAAGGCCCTACGTACCCTACTTGGGAAAATTAGCAGTGTAAATAATTGACTGACAAATAATTGAAATCTTGTATATAAATGGGCAAAAAACACACGAGTCATTATTTGATGTGTTGTAAAATGGAGTCCAAGTTTAGGGTGAAATTCTCCTTGTTACTAATAATAATATTGATAATTGCTGTGGCTCATTTGCAGGTATCAAGTGGTTGCCTTGATGATGAAAGATTGAGTTTGTTACATATCAAGGCCTTCTTTTTATCCTTTAATATCTTCGATTCCTTTACTTCTTGGGTCGGAGATAATTGTTGCAATTGGGATCGAGTTAAGTGCAATAATCTCTCTTTCGGTGCCCATGTGGTGGAGCTCTTGCTCAACAACTTGTTATATGATGACGGGTCCAGCTATCGTTTGTTGAATATTTCTATATTCCAAAATTTGAGAGAATTGAAAAATCTTGACCTATATAATAATGGATTCTCTGATTTCACTGGAAATCTAGGTATGTCTATTTCTATTACTTATTGGTTATGAAATACTTCTTTTGAATATTTAATTTAACCATGTCGATTTAGTTTCTCGATGGCCATGATAATTCATTTTTAACTCTTTAACCTAGCATGTGTTAATCTTTTTCTTCATTTGAGTCCAAGATAATTTTGAAAAGCTTGAGAGAGTTTTGGATCTAATCTTTGTTATTGATTTTCTTAACATGGTATTAGATCTATTATTTTTTGTATGTAATTGATTTTGTAAGATGATGTCCAACTTTGGCGCCACCATCTTCCTCCGCTCCCTCATCAACGATCATCGCTTGTGCTACGCCACTCAGATCTGAAACGAAAAGGAAAGGAGGGCTGTGACGTCACCCAGTCCAAATCAACAAATAATTGCCACTTCATTTTTTTGATTTGTCAAATGAATTTAGAGCACCTTTTAAAATCATTCTCCGAATTTTAGGGACTAAAAGTAATTATTTTTTTAATTAAAAAGCAAACTTAACTCATATAAAACGTCTTTATCTTATCTCAAGATTAAGTTCTTAGTTTAATCAGGAGAGATGTTTTGGAGTATTAGTTTTATCATTATATTTTTACAATTTGAAGTTAAGTATAATGATTTACTAAAGCAGTTTATTTGCCTTTCTTGCACAGGACTGGAAAAATTAGAGATTTTAAATCTCAACTATAATAATTTCAACAATGGTATATTTTCATTTTTGAGGGAGCTTATATCACTAAAGACTTTGACTCTGGGTGATAATTATTTGGGAGGCATCATCCCAATGCAAGGTTAGTTTATTAAATTCAAAATAGTAGTATAATTAATGGAATCCCAATAAATATGAAGAACTCTTGCTTATTGCTCTGTTTTCTATACTTTTTTTTTTCTTCTTTTTTCTTCTTCTAATTATTTGAGTATTTGGTTGTCCAGATATTGCGAAATTAAAAAGCTTGGAATCTTTGGATCTTTCGGACAATAATTATTATGATGGAGCAATACCCTTGCAAGGTAAATATGATGAATAAAAATTTCACTTTCTCTTTTTATAGATATATTTGAAAATAATTATGATCATATTATAATAAATAACATATGTGTAATATCATTTTCCAGTATTGAATATATTCAAACATTAAGAATATCATTTTTTTAGAAGGACATGGAGAAGATCCAGTTTGTTTTCAAAAAGAGAGAGAAAAAAAGACTTAGTTTTGTTTCTAATTACAAACAAAAAACGATTTGATAATTTAAAAAAATGATATTGAATATTAGAAGTTTCTTTTATTTTCAAATATGATTCTTCCCAATTTTTGTTTTTAAAAGTAAAATATCTTGAATTCATGTAAACAATATATGAATCAAACATCTATATTAATGACAATTACATGTTTTTATTAATTTATATATTTTACAAAACGGTTGAAATGTGGGAGATTTGAACCATTAAGTCTTTAATTCAACCATTTGTGTGTATATATATGATTTCAGGATACATTAAAATTGACCTAAACTAAAGTTATTTTGTCAAACAGATTTGAACAATCTAAGAATATTGGACCTATCAAATAATCGATTGGATGGTTGGTTGCCAATACAAGGTAATTATCTTTACCGTTGAGAATGAGAGTGAGAGGATTCCCACTCTTAATTTTCATTATTGCTTTTAAAATCCACAAAATTAAACTATAAGCAAACAAAGCATTAAGTAATTAGGTGAATTCTTTGTCCAAAAAAAAAAAAGTAATTAGGTGAATTCTATAAAGAATCCTCAATACATATGTCTATTAGATTTAACTCTTAAATTTCATAGTAATTTAATATGGTATAAAAAGCAAATAAATTGGATAAAATTAATTAAATGTTGTAATGTCAATATAAAAAGTGGCACTTCAACTTCGGTGAAGATTTCGAATTTTAAGGACTAGAAAGATATTTTTATTTTTATTATTGTTTTATTTTTTGAATTTGAACTCACCATTTTTGTGTTAGTGTCTTAACTGGTTGAACAATACCCACGTTGGTACTAAAAAAGTTATTATTTTACCACAATTTACGTATATTAAGTAGATAAATTTACAAGCTTTTCGTTCCAAGGCAAATAGCCTGATCCAAAAGCAAAAGCGTTTAAAACCTTTTCTATTTTATCGTGCAGGATTTTGTGAGATAAACAATCTAGTTGAGTTGGATATTAATAACAATCATATTAGAGGTCAATTACCACAATGTATTGGAAACTTCACTAAACTTGGATATCTTGATATCTCATCCAACCAATTGAGTGGAAAAATTCCATCCACCATCTCAAATCTCACATCACTTGAGTACTTGTCTCTTATTGAAAATGACTTCCAAGGTCCATTCTTATTATCTTCCCTTGCCAACCTCACCAATCTCAAGTTTTTGGGGCTATCACAATTACAAGTGGATACTGAAAAACCTTATAATTGGGTATCCATGTTTCAGTTGGAGGACCTCATACTACGAAACTGTGAGCTTAATAAGCAAACTACATCCAACTTTCTGGTATTGATACCGATTGAGATCTATTGATTTTTCTCATAACCAATTGATTGGAACCTTTCCTGTTTGGTTATTACACAATAACTCTGACATGGTGTTCTTAGATTTGAGTAGCAACTCACTCACAGGAACACTTCAATTCCCTCCTCGAAAACAAAAATTGTTTTTTCTGCAAATTGCTGACAATAATTTTAGTGGTCCATTACCCAATAATGTTGGCCTCCTTCTCCCTGAGGTTTATTACTTCAATATATCAAGCAATAGATTTGAAGGTAATCTTCCTCCCTCCATGGAACAAATGAAATGGCTATCCCTCTTGGATCTATCAAAGAACAAATTTTTTGGAAATTTACAAATTTCTTTGTTCAGCAATATGCCTTATTTACAATGTCTGCTACTTTCAAGCAACCGGTACAGTGGAAGCATTGAGTATGGGTGGAACAATCACACGGGTTTGGTTGCGTTGGACATATCCAACAATATGATTTCAGGAAAAGTTCCCAATTGGATTGGGATTTTCGAATATCTTCGATATGTCAAAATATCAAAAAATCAATTTGAAGGTGAACTTCCTGTCGGAATTTGCGATCTTCATCAACTTGCGTTCTTGGATGTCTCACAAAATAAACTATTTGGTATGCCCTCTTGCCTTGACTCTTCATCATTGGTTTACCTATACATGCAAGAGAATTTCTTCTCAGGGCCCATACCACATGCATTGTCAAAAGGCTCGAACTTGAAAGTTCTTGATCTCAGCTACAACAATTTCTCAGGATCTATTCCTACTTGGATTCACAAACTTACGAGCCTACGAGTTCTTTTGTTGAAGATGAATCAGTTACAAGGTTCAATTCCTCATCAATTATGCCAAGCTGGAGGGTTGAGTATTGTGGATTTTTCAAGTAATATATTCAATGGACCAATACCGTCATGCTTAAATAATATGACATTTGGGATGATAAAAGGTATTGAGTATTCAACTGTTCGAAAAATAGGATTGGGTGGCTTTTATGCTGTTAATCTTAACCAAACATATTTTGAAAGTCGTTCCGATTATATCTTCAAACAAGTGATCATGTATATCACAGGACAGATCGAAGTAGACTTTACAACAAAAAATAGGCCTGACACTTACAAGGGTAACATTCTAGAATTTATGTCAGGACTTGATTTGTCACATAATCAACTAACAGGTAACATCCCACCACAGATTGGAGACTTGCTAGAAATTCATTCCTTGAATTTTTCGCACAATAAGTTGGTCGGACCTATACCAAAGCAAATCTCTAATTTAGAACAGTTGGAGAGCTTAGATCTTTCCAATAACTTTTTGAGTGGAAATATCCCTTCAGAATTAGGAGGACTCAATTCTCTTGCCATCTTCGATGTGTCGTACAATAATTTATTGGGTATGATCCCTACATCACCACACTTCTCGACATATCCTGCAAGCAGTTATTATGGTAATTCTCATCTCTGTGGGTCATATATCAAACAAAAATGTCAAAGCCCTATTGTACCACGAGACAACAAATCTATGGAGTTAGGAGAAGATCAGCATGGAGCATTCATTGATTTAGAAGCATTCTATTGGAGCTTTGGTGCCTCCTACATCACAATATTGATGGGATTTATAGTAGTTCTTTATATCAACCCTCAATGGCGTGAGATATGGTTTTATTTTATTGAAGATTGTTGTTCTTATTTTTGCAAGTGTATTTAAAATATATCCTTCCACTCTTGTATCAAACTTTAGAAATCAGTCACTAAAAAGTTAGCTTTTCTAATTATTGTTTTGATACTTTGACTAGAATGATGATATTATAGCTTCAGGTAATTTCTTAGTCACTTGCCTTCCTTTTCTAAATGTGGAAAATTAGATGCAAAAATAAATAAATAAGTGTGCTAGATCAAATTGTTTTAAGCTAATTTAAATGCAAGAACACCTTGAAGCCTTGAAATCCAAAATCTGTTGTATCAAAATTATAGGAATTCAAAATACTTCCTTGATCTTAAATCCTAAATTCATTAATGAATTTAAGATATGTAAAGGAATACTCCTTGTCGGATTTCAAAGATCGCAAACAAAGTTCTACATTGACTAGAAATAATATTTTTATCAAAGTATCCTTTGTGCTACTTGACACCATGATTACATCACTGTGAATCAAATATAAAAATTCTAATATTTTTATAACATCAATGACTGGTTTTTAGTTTTTAGTTTTTCTCTTCCAATACAATTGAAATTCGGAAGATCAACCATGATGAAATTATTCACACATAAACTGTCTAAATAATTTTCAAAGACTATATCTTTTCTTTCTAAAACATTTTCGAAGTTGCATAAAATTGAAGATATAGAACCATCAATAAACTAAATATTATTGTCTTTCTAACTTTGTCTATTGAGTTTTAAGCCAAAGAATTGGAGGTAGAGAGATAGAGATTTACGCCAAAGAATTGTACGGAAAAAATTTGATTCGTTTATGCATATCTCAACACTCCCCCACTTGTTCGAAAAATTGCAACAAAACCCAATAAATAGAAATCATAATGTAGTAATCCGAACATAAGATCTCCTGCTCTGATACCATATTAGAGAATAGAGATGAATAAATCATCCTCAACCCAAAAATTTAAGTTGATGGGTTTGATAAATTCAATTTACGTAGGGATATTTATACTCTTTATTTGACAATAAAAGAATATATATTTTGAACTCAATAATAATAATAATATTGGAATATATGTGGAACATAATTGTTACCAATTTAATTTATGGACATTAAATTTGGAATACTCAACTGTTTCTCAAATATCTTCATATTCTAACCATCATTTCCTTCCCTCGTTAAAAATCCAACATTATGCTGGTTAGATAGACGTGGAGAACTCTTGTCTATAGCATCTAATGTCAGATTTGTTTTTTCTTTAATATCTATGGAATGCGATCATCATGGAGTCAACAATAATGTATTTTAACTAAAATTTTATTTAAATTTCCAAACAATACTTCTTTTTGGGCTAACATTTTCTAAAAGCAAATGTTATATACATATGAAAGTGATTAGTTTAATGTTACTTTTCAAGTCGACTCATCGTGTCAACTTCTCAATATTAATTTAAAAGTTTTTATTTGATACAGGATGGAGATTTGAATTCATGACCTCTTTAATTAGAGACAAACGTCAATTATGTTGATCTAAGTTCATGTTTGTATTAAGTTAAAAATCTTACTCTTTTTTCATTTATTTTTAACACTTTTATTTATTTGTAACTATTTTTTAATTAAAAAAAAGTTTCCATATATACCGTAGCTTTGTATGCACTATTGGAAAAAATTAACTGGAAATTAAATAAATAGAACAATTTAAAACATTGTATATAAATGGGGTAGCGATTTAGTAAGGCAAAGATCGAAGAAACATTAAATTATTGATGTGTTACAAAATGGAATCTAAAGTTATAGTGAATTGCTTAATATTGGTGATAACATCTATTTGAGTGTGGCTTAAATTAATGCATATACAAGTTCTTTGAAAAAAAAAATTAGGTTTGAGTTTTTTTGGTTCTATAGTATCCACAAAGTTTGGTTTGCAAGGGAGATAGAAATAAAGTCTCACATCGGTTAAGAAAGGAAGTGATACATGATATGTAAATGTAAGTAAGAACAATTATCGCCATTGATATAAGACATTTTCGATAAAACTAAAACAGACAATATATCAATATCATAATATAATAGAGATACTTGTGGAGAATTCATTTTCAAGCTCTAATGTCAAAAAAAAAATTTCCAAATATCTATGGCGTGTGTGGTCATCATAGAGCCGACAGTAAGTATCATGTACATGGAACTCTAATTTGTCATTATTATTATTATTATTATTTTGTAGTTTAAATATCCATGGACTGCAGTTATCATGTAGTCAACAATCTATTTCAACTAAAATTTTATTTAGATTTCTAAGGTAGACTTGTTTTTTGGGCTAACATTTTCTGTAAACCACTGGTCCCACTATGAAAATGATTGATTTAACATCACTTTAACACTTCAACACATTATGTTACATGAATTATTCATATTAATTTTAAGTCTCTTGATCTTTCCCATTTATTTTTAACGATTTTATTTAGGGACAACCTGAGATATGACAAAAAAAAAGTTAGGAAAATAAGCAAAATAGTAACAAGATTTGGGTTTTTCAAATATAGCATTTTTTTTTTTGTAAAAAAATGGAGGCCCACGTTCTAAATTACAAATATACCCTACAGGTCCGAACCAACCATAAATTACTTTTGATTGACTTCTGATATACTAATGATTGACAGATATACTCCTGATATATATGTGATATATGTTTGATATACATATGGTATGAAATTGATTTACTTCTGATATAACTATGATATCTACTACTATAGGTGACATATAATTGATTGACTTCTGATATACTATTGATTGACTTCTGATATACTATTGATTTACTTATGATATAACTATGACTGACAGATATACTCATGATATAATTATGATTGACAGATATACTCCTGATATATATATGATATATGTTTCATATATATTTGATATGAAATTGATTTACTTCTGATATAACTATGATATATACTACTATAGGTGATATAGAACTGATTGACTTTTGATATACTATTGATTTACTTATGATATAACTATGATTGACAGATATACTCCTCRTATATATGTGATATATGTTTRATATACATATRATATGAAATTGATTTACTTCTGATAWAACTATGATATCTACTACTATAGGTGATATAGAACYGATTGACTTCTTGTATACTATTGATTTACTTCTGATATAACTATGATTAACNTACTATTGATTTACTTCTGATATAACTATGATTAACCTATATACTCTTGATATATATGTGATATATGTTTGATATACATATGATGTGAAATTGATTTACTCCTTATATAACTATGATATCTACCAATTATTTCGAACATATTACCTCTAATATATGTTTTATGATATACTACTAATATATGAAATAATTTTTCTTTCAGATAAAAGCAACGGTACAAACACGAAAAATGAAATAAAAAAACATCGTTGAAAATGTTGATGTCGTTCGTCCCAAAAGACAACAGAAACTAACGCCAAAAGTGTTGTCTATGGAAAAACGGAAATCTTCAAAGATAGTATCTCCGAAAACACGACAATCACTAAGAACGAAGATTGATGTCCCAAGCTTTTACTTAAAGATTATACAAGAATGTAACTTATGCTTTTCTAGGCTGTTGGAACTTATGCTTCTAGAACTTATGCTTCTTCTTTTATAGAATTTTTAGAATGACATTGTTAGTCTACTTTTGGTTTATGCTACTGGTTCGTTTTGATGTTTAAACCTTTAAGTTTTTTATTGAAGGACTTTGCTGCTGATTTGATGTTGATGTTGATACCCAAGAATGATATTTAAACCTTTTAAGAATGACATTGTTGCTGATTTCATTTTGATCTTTAAAACTTAATTGTACTATTGATATATATACAATGTATACTTGATATATCACTGATATATTATTGATATACAGAAAAACCCTAAGTTTCTATTTACCTCTAATTTCTAATTGATTTCTCATTCACAGTAATTTCGAAAATCACCATTGACGTTCACATTGACGTTCCTTTCAAGTTCTCTTTCTCATTTTCAGTAAGTATTAAATTTTTTTTCTCATTTTCCATGCACGCCAATACCTACTAATTTCTAATTGATCAAAAAAATAAAAGACAAAGGGTTAAAGCGGGTAAAATAATGATTTACTATTATACAACTGATATAGAACTGATTGACTTTTGATATACTATTGATTTACTTCTGATATACTAATGTTGTCAGATATACTCCTGATATATATGTGATATATGTTTGATATATAATAATGAAGCGATAACTGAAAAGGATAATTTGGAAATATTGAAAATTTTAAAATCAGGATTTTCAAAAAAATGCTATATCTGAAAATATAAAAAAGGCATACTATTTTGTTAAATATAGAAAACTTATATGCTACCCATTACAAATCCTCTTTTATCCATTTATAATTACTTTTTTAATTAAAAAAGTTTCCCCATGTACCTTACCTTTGTATGCACTATTGGAAAAATTGCATTGCATGGAGTGTAAAATGAAGTAGAGGCAATTTGAATTAGATTGAATATAAATGGGTAGCGATTTAGTAAGATAAAGATTAAAACAAAAATCTTAAAAGATGTATTATAAAACAGAATAATAATCTAGATTTATAATAAATCACTTAATATTATTCAATAAATTTATTGGATGTTACTTAATTAAATTAACGCATATACAACAAGTGACGTGAGTAAAATTTTCAACATTTCAACCTTTCTATAACAGTCAATGAGGCATCATCTTCTTGGAAATGTAGTCTCATGAGAAAATGAAATTTTGATATAATTTTCCAAGTCAAATTTTCATATCACATCATTAACATTTAATTATTTTAGTAATTGAGTCGTCCAGTCTTTTTTTTTTATTTAATAATAAAAAAATGTTGCCTACATGAGTGTAAATGAGTAACGACAAATTGAATCGTGTATGTAAATGGGGGAGGTGATTTGATAATTTAGCAAAGAAGAAAAACTCCTTTAATTTGATGTGTTTGAAAATGGAGTCCAAGTTGAAGGTGAAATTATCCTCGTTACTGATAATAATATTGATTATTGTGGCTCATATGCAGGTATCAAGAGGGTGCCTTG